CCTGGGAGTCAGTTAAAGGTTAAGACACCCACCTTGGGTGATGTAGGTGATCTTGATTCATTTCCCTAAACCTAGATATGTGGTGTCACTTCAGAGACTGTGGAGCACCCGAGGCATCTGCATGGGTCTGCCACATAGGATACAAGACCTAGAGAAGATCCATACCTTCTGACTGGGAAATGGGAAGCCAGGTGGGATACAGTGGGGCTTCTCAAATGGCACAAGCGCTCTATTCACTGATTCAAACCAGTCAATGCAATCTTTTCCTCGTCAGCTTAGCCTACAGTACAGACTTCCATTTGCTCACCTAAACAACTCTGGTCTTCACTGGCAGTGTGGACTAGCTCACCACTGACTATAATGCATGCCCAGCCACTCTGCTCACACGGAGACACCTAAATGTAGACACCTAGGTGGATCTGTGAGTGAAATCTCCCCTGTAGCCATTTATTTACATCTAATGTGCAACTTCCACACGACTAGCTAAACCATGGCAACTTCCTAACTACTCCTTTGAGATGTAACATAAATCTAAACCCCCCAAATATTGCAGTATTGTCTATTTCAAAAGTGTGAAAGGACTTTAGCATCATCTTAATGTACGGTGGGAATGTTTCTGAAGTATCATAAAGGTTATAAAGGGTGAAATTTCCTGCTCTGTTCTGGCTTCAGCTCTTCACAGCTTAGAAACAAGTAGCAAATTCAGTGAATTTTCAGAGCTGTCTGGGTTTGTAATCATGTTGTCCAGGAAAAAAAAAAAAAAAAAGGCCTCATAATATACTATTATGAAACTCTCCCTTGTGATAGGGCCTATCCTCGCGAGATCTTCACATACTCATAAGGCATTCTACAAACAGCTTATGTTCCCCAGATCACGTTCTGAAGGCCAAATCACATCACACTGCAAAAGCTTGCAGTAATGCTGTATCTCGTCTCCTTGTGAAGTGGGAGGCCTGTACGGGCTGCGTTGCCAACTGAGGCTTCTGTGGAGGCCTTGGTTGTCAGCATAGCAAAAGCATGCTTTCTTAGTGTAAACTTCCGTGTCTAAGCAGTGAAACCCATACCGATTTACTTCTCAGTTTGATTCGCAGTGCATTCTTTTCCTCAGTTATCTGCTATGAAAAAGCCTGTATTTCTTAGTGCTTGTCAACAGCATCACATCAGAAGTACCTAAGTACCAAAATATAATTTTCATTCTCCTGACATCAGTTGCTCTCAGGGAGGCATCCCTGCTAGAAGTGGCGATAAAGGTAATGCCACTCAATCCACATGAGGTACCAGCACTCTTACAGCAGATTTTGATCTAAAAAGCAAAATAGCCTGTATCTAGTGGCCTTTCAGTAACCTGAGATCTTTATAAATACCACTGAAGCCTTGTTGAATTATTATCTCTTCAGTGAGTCCAGTATTCCTGTCTCTGTGATGGATGGGCTGATGACTTACTGCCTCAGGAAGGTTTTAAATACTTCAGGTTTTCCAGTTATGACAGAGTTGGGTTCTTTAAATGCATGTAATAGTCTTTAGCAGGTTACTCATTCCACATAGTGCCAGGCCTCCTCTTAATGTTGACGCAAGCAAAAAGGCTAGAAAATTCATTCATTTAAAGCTTTAATAGTGCTGTGATCTCAGCTGCATCTCTACCATTTCATATTTGATTCAGATGCCACTAGGTACTTACAAACTATCTGCAGTAGAGCTCAAACCATAGAGATCTCAGATGAAAGTTATCCAAGTTTCTCTCTTTTTGTCAGTGTTCTATCTGTGAAGTTTGGCAAACAAGACCAGAGTGGGTTTTTTTCTTTGGAACCTCTTATAGACTCCCTCTATTCAAAATATGTCCTTATGACATAGAGTGTTTCTCTCTATGAGCTCTTTCACCCCGGATCAGAGGGGGGTGAAACAGCTGCACTGCTGGGGAGAACTCATGTTCTGGTGGAGAAGGCAGCACCTCCAGCCCTATGGCTGAAGACAGCACCTTGGCAGTACAAGCTATCGCCATAAAAAGTCTTGGTCCTGATTTTGCAAGTGATTTGGTCTGACATTTCAGCAGTGGGATCACTGAAAGGAAAAAGTGAAACTATTAAATTGCAGTCCATGTAAAGAATTTGAAAGCTGTGGATGCCCCATCCCTGGAAGTGTTCAAGGCCAGGCTGGATGAGGCTTTGAGCAACCTGGTCTAGTGGAAGGTGTCCCTGCCCATGGCAGGGGGGTTGGAACTGGATGATCTTCAAGGTCCCTTCCCACCCAAACCATTCTATGATCTATGAAATGGGATGAATTTTATTTCCTTATGCTTTGGACTGTGTGTTTGACCTGGGAATACAAACACCTCCCTTTCCCCAGTTTTCACAGGACACAATGTTTCACCCAGATCCTGGACTATCTTTTTTGGCTGCATTGATAATTAAGCCAATGGGCCACTTCTGGAGAGAGCATGTATCATTCGGGCCTCTCCACTGGAGATAAGATCCTTCAGATTTTGAATATGATTGTCTTTCCAAGCCAACACATTATACACAAGTTATTCCAGTGAACCTAAGGAGAAAAAGCTGTTTAGATACAAATTCGACAGGTTTTTTATGTTTTATTGCTTCTGAAAAGTTCTGAAGCTGTTTTAAACAAACTGTGTGGGCTATAGATGGGCATGAGAGGCCATTGGCACTTGACTCATTAATTTGTTGTGACTCGTATTAATTTGCTATGCAACTTTATGGAAAAAAGTTTTATTTTTTGGACACAGAAAATCTACTAGCACTAGAGGGCACAAATATGCAAATTTCATTTAATCTGAGTGGTAAAGAGCATCCCTGGACTTCTGAGGAAACTTAGGATGAGAGGTTTCTGAGAATTTAAGATGGTATGAAAAATGGCTTGATGAAAAATATGTCTGCATTTACATTAAATGCCACTTAAATAGGATGAATGTAGGTTGTGAACCTTTTTTTCAGTGACTAAAAAAATCAAGTTTTTTTCTGTCAACTCCCAGATCACAAGACTGAATTTAATTTCACATAACACTTGAGTTAAAAAAATATTTTAAGATTTTTTGAAACTGTGCTGAAGAGAATGCATTTCCACAAAACTCCTGTTGGACTATTTTTATTGCAGTTCACTAAAAAATCTTGAGGGTTTTTTAGTTGATTAAATTTATTCTACCTAGATCTGTTTCTTATAACAAAATAATAATATATAATCAGGGATATGCTTTCACGCTATTTCATCCTTATGTAAGTATGGATGTGAGTATAGATTTATACACCAGATCATCTCTTCAGCCTC